AACTGGAAGGCTGTCAAAATATATATTGTATACCATATCTGATCTAAACCCGAAGATAGGTATTGTATATGTCTAAGGAGTGTACTTTTATCATCCTGTCAACTCTCTAATGTAAAGAATTAATGACAGGAAAGTGTCAGAGAAATGATATAACAGATATATAATAACACCTAAAGGGTCTATCTTCATGATCTAAACCTCTTGTCATGAAATATTCATTAGGATTCACAAAGACGGCTTTCTTTCCTTCCACAAAGCAATAAATCTATAGAGTTTAAATGCGATGGTTCAAAGGAATATCACAATAAACATATCCCTAAAGAAATGTTAAGTTATAAACGTGGAGGCATTAAAGGTTTTCATTATATTGTCATATATTTGTTTCATCTCTCTTTTGTGCGTGTTTACGTGTCTTAACTTTGTAAACATTTTGCATCAATTTCATCAACCCAATACAGCTAAGTTTTATAAATATGTTTATCAAATATTGTATAGTGCAACCTCTATACAACATATGATATTAGCAGAAATATTTATAAAGAGCAATTAAATCAAACAATATGAGGTAAAGTTACAGCAATATTTGAATGGAAAATGAGATAATTTATTTGTTTATCATTGAAGTTATTCAGGTAGACACTGGAATTCAGATTGTTGGAAGAATTTTTTTAGTCATAGTAAAATCTTGAGAAACTTGTTTCAAAAAGGCATGAAAATGCTGTATTAATCCTAGAAGTACAAGTATACACATATCAACATTTGTATTATTTTTACTTTGTATCAACATTTGTCCTATTTTCACTTTGTATCAACATTGGTCCTATTTTTACTTTGTATCAACATTTGTCCTATTTTTACTTTGTATCGACATTTGTGTCATTTTTACTTTGTATCAACATTTGTCCTATTTTTACTTTGTATCAACATTTGTGTCATTTCTGCTTTGTATTAAAATTTGTCCTATTTTTACTTTGTAAATACTTTGTCATACCGTCTTGACTTTTCTTGTAATAAATTGGACATTTTAATCTTAATTGTAACCTGAACTGATGGATTTCTAAGATTCCCTATTATATAAGAGACTTGTATGTTAGGAAGAAGATTACAAGTAACAACAAGGACAATTTCTTTTGTTTACTTGTACATTTCAAATTACTGTCAGCAATATGTCATTTCTTCCATGTCAAATTGAGAATGAGCAAACAGACAGCCATTTATCACTTTATATAGAAGGATACCAGAACCTATTTCAGTGCAACACAATAACTCTGTGTACACTAAAATGTGATACCTATTTCTGTATTAAATGTGTGATACCAAACAGACAATGTATTAAAAGCACATGAACCATGAAATGTTACAGTGAACAAAGAGTCAAACTTTTAATGCTACAACATCACCTGTGTAATGATCTGTGCAATACACCTCATCATCACAAAAGGTAACCCAATGTGAAAGTAAACAGACCATGAATATGTACCATACAAAGTTATTTCAAACAAAGGGCTATAACTCTAACTACAAAACATGACCTGTGCAATGACCTGTGTAATATACGTCACCATCACTAAAAGGTAATCAAATGTGAAATCAGCTGAGAAAGGGCCATAACTCTACAGATACTTAAACATGATAAGCTTTTCCCATGTAATATACCTCACCATCACTAAAAGGTGATCAGATGTGAAATTAAACAGAATAGATCAAATCAAAAGCTTTTCTAGCAAACAGATAGCCCAGACAGAGTGACATACAGAGTTACACACAGTGGCATACATACTGAGGTACATGGTACAAAGTCATCATTCCTTCCAGTAGTACTTGGGGGAACATTTATCACAGGATTTCAACATGTAGTTACAATAAACTTACCTTGTCTATCTACTATACAGCCTCCTGCACTAAAATTAATGGTACTAGGTCTCACACCTGAACTTCTGGCACAGGTAGCTATAATTTTTACCTGTCCCCTTACCACTCACCTGTACAACTGGAGTCATTTGATGAACATCCAAACTTCTCTGACCAGAGTGATCAGCTCAGTATGTTGGATAAACTGCTTACCGTAAATCTGTCTACCTGTAGATACCTGGGGCTGTGTGACCCTTACCTAACACAACCTTTAGTTTGACTTTCTCTGATCCCTCATATAACACAGGCGGAGATAGTGACAGAGACACACTAACGACAAAATGCCACAGGTAAAACCACTGACGAAAATATAATACACTTCCTCCAGTAGCCTAGTCACATGCCATACCTCTATAGACTGTTTTATATGGGAAGACTATCACCACACCTCTTTTATATCTCTTATCAATGTAAAATCTCCAACATTAATATATAAATACTTTGTGCTATAATGTTTGATTTTTTTTTTTCTGTTTTTGAATCTCAAACAGTATATAAAATACATGATTACTGACTTTTACATCAGCTATACACTGATTACAACATTTTATATATCTTTAAAGTAGATAAACCTGGTGTTAACTAAATACAATAACTGTTGTATTAGATGACAATCATAAAATAATGCTTGCAGAATGAAGTCTGTTTCTTGTAAGGTGGCCTCTATAGTCTCCTGCAATGGTGTCCAAGGCTATAGTGTCCAGTCCAGGGCTCCTTTGGTCAGAGACAGATGACAGGGGGATCCTAGTCTACTGCAAAGTACTCCAAGTTTAACTTGTCCACAGGTCATAGAGACACCTGCCTTGAGCACCTCTAACCTCCTGGCTAAGGCTTCTATATTCTCCCTCCCAGGGCTCCTATATTCTCCTATCTAGGAGTCTATAGTCTCCAATCCAAGGGTCCATTAGTCTCCTGTCCAGGGGTCTACAATCTCCTACCCACAGCTCCTATAATTTTCAACCCAGGGGTCCTGCAGTCTATTATCTAGGGGTCTATAGTCTCCTACCCACAGATCCTACATCCTCCTACCAAGGTAATTATTGTCTCCTGCCAAGGGGTTCCATTGGCTCTTAGTTTAATTTCCTGTCCATGGCAAATGGAGTCACCTGCCCAAGGGTCCTATATCTCCTTCCTAAGGATCATATAGTCTCCTGTCCAAGGGTCCTATATCTCCTTCCTAAGGATCCTATAATCTCCTGTCCAGGGCTTCTATAGTCTCCTACCACTGGGTATATAGTCTCCTGCCCACGGCTCCTATAGTCTCCTATTACCTTCAGCTATATAGTCTCCTCCCCAGGGCTTCTATAGTCTCCTACCTCCAGGTATATAGTCTTCTGCCCAGGGCTCATATAGTCTCCTACCTCCAGGTATATAGTCTCCTGCCCAGGGCTCCTATAGTCCCCTACCTCCAGGTATATAGTCTCCTGCCCACCGCTCCTATAGTCTCCTATTACCTTCAGGTATATAGTCTCCTGCCCACCGCTCCTATAGTCTCCTATTACCTTCAGGTATATAGTCTCCTGCCCAGGGCTCCTATAGTCCCCTACCTCCAGGTATATAGTCTCCTGCCCACCGCTCCTATAGTCTCCTATTACCTTCAGGTATATAGTCTCCTGCCCAGGGCTCCTATAGTCTCCTACCTCTGTGTATATAGTCTCCTGTCCAGGATTCCTACAATCTTCCACAGGGGGTTCCTTAAGTCTCCTGCCCAGATTTCCTTATTCCTCCTACAAAGGCATTCTATCATGTTGTGTCCTGGTTTCTTGTCCTGTCTACAGCTCCAAAGGTTCGTAGTATGCAACCTCAGCCAGTACACCCATAGTACCAAGCCTAACTTTTTCTTTCTAGAGAGGTTGCATGTCAGCAGAAATTGACAATCTCACTTTATCATTGGTTGAAATGCAGATTGGTTGTTTTTACCCTTAAATCTGACATTCAAAGTTTTATAGGCCACAAGCTCTGAAGGGCCACCTAGCTATCTTAAAATCTACTAAAATTAACATATAAATGACAAGGGATTCTATGAGTTAAATATAGTATACTTCAATATGTGACTTCAATAATTTATAAGTTAATGTGTCATGGGATCCTAATCCCACTATACAGATCACCAATCACAGGAAGACCCACTTATAATCTTACATCAAACAGCAGGTATAGACACACCCACAAAAGTAAACAGATTTCAACAAATATCTGTCGCTCTCAAGGAAACCCTTTACTCACACTTAAAATAGACCACTATTAGATATGATGTTTTCAAGATCAATAACAGGTCCTTCTATACATATCCATAAAGTATGGATAAACATGTACAGAATACATACATATATAGACTGCTGAGATGTAAATTATACCGCCTTCTAGTAGATTATATAAATCATAGACTTTACAAAACATTTATCTTACTCTTGTACATGACTGACTAGCAAGCAGAGAAGATTTATTTCTGAACATTTTCTATAGGGTTGGTAATGTCATTATAACAAAGATTATATAAAACAACCTGTAAAGATTAGAGTGTGATGTTTTGACGCCTACACAGTCATCTTCAACAAATGACCAATGTGGAGCATACTTGCACTGACATATGTATTGTACGAGATGGAATGGAATCCAATCATTTTTCAGCTGTACTATAATCCTATGTACACTAAGGATGATAACTGTGTGACAAGATAGTTAACACAATATAGACCAAAAAATACACAAGATGGAAACAATGTACTGTAATCCATTCAGCTATGTTTTTCAGGCGAGAGTCTGTGGCCCTTATCGTCTGTGTTTAGTATTGACCCAATGTGTCATATCCAGATGGCTTCCTTAACCAACTGAGGGTAGTGTAGAAGTTGAAATTACAGGTCACCTTACTAGCATTGGAAATGAAAACAAGTGTAAGAATCTGTTTCTCACATAGCTCAGATACTTTTGCAAACCTAAATGAAAACTTATTAAACTAAAATAAAGACATAATATATCTTTCTCTGGCGAGTCACAATACATATGATGTCATGAAGCTGTGATGTCACAATAGAATTAGTGGGAAACTACAGCCAGTGATAACAAGAGAAGTTGATAAAACATCCTACCTTTTCAGAGCTGACTCCAAAGTTTCAAAGTCAGTCTTAGATCTGTGAATGTCGTTAGAGACTTTGTATAAAAAATCTTCAAAGTTCGAAGCCATTTCAGTATCTTCTTTACGTAACCGAGTCCACAAACTCTGGATAGCCTTTTCACTGGAACACAAAATTGTTGCGTTATATTTGTCATATACAACTTAAATGTTGGTGGCCAGATGTAAAATGAATAATACTTCTTCTTCACCAAATAGAGAAGTGGAGATGTCTAATATTCTTGGGCACTAAATGAAATGTTCAACTTTACTTACATATTACTATTTTAATTCACTTTTATCATAAAAACATAAGCACCAACAAAAATATTATATGTTTAGGTTATATAAGGTTATGTCTGATCTGGAATGATTTTACTGTCAAAAGTACTTGTTACATTCATGACTCGGCTGCATACACATAAAGGGCAATAACTCTAGCATCTTTAAGCTACATGTATTTATTTGTAAGCCCAGTAGCTTATAGTAATTTCTGTTGTTCCTGTATTTTTTTTTCTCAGTACATATAAACCAAATATTTTTTATTTCATATGAAGCAAGGTCAGAGCCATTAAAAAATGACATTTTTAACAGAGCAACATTTCAGAAGAAAGTAACAAGAAAAGTAGCACTATGTGTAGGTGTCATTAAGTCAGGTCACCTTACTTACTCATCATACAACTTGGAGGCTCCTACATTGTGAAGCATTTCCTTAAAGAGGATTTCCTCAGTTCCTTCATCCACACCCTCGTACACATTCTCAGCCTCGACTGGTGTCTCCTCTGTACCAGTTGACTTAAAACCAAGGTAACTCCCTGAAACAATGAAAATTACATATATTACTCATCCTCAAGGTATGAGAATCAAATGTAAGACTACAGCCTGATAGTGCTTCAGCTATAACTTGATAAATTAATATATACCAGAATTTTGTCACAAAATGTGAGGTAACTCCCTGAGATAAACCAGAATTAAGTCACAAAATGTTTGGTAACTACCTGAGATATTATATATACCAGAAAATCTGAGGTAACTCCCTGAGCTATTATATAAACCAGAATGAGTATTGCTCAATGCCAGCAGGTTCACTTAACAAGTATTGCTCAAACCTCAGCAGGTTCACTTAACAAGTAATACTCAATCCTCAGCAGGTTCACTTAACAAGTAATACTCAAACCTCAGCAGGTTCACTTAACAAGTAATACTCAAACCTCAGCAGGTTCACTTAACAAGTAATACTCAAACCTCAGCAGGTTCACTTAACAAGTAATACTCAAACCTCAGTAGGTTCACTTAACAAGTAATACTCAAACCTCAGCAGGTTCACTTAACAAGTAATACTCAAACCTCAGTAGGTTCACTTAACAAGTAATACTCAAACCTCAGCAGGTTCACTTAACAAGTAATTCAAACCTCAAGGTTCACTTAACAAGTAATGTTCAAACCTCAGCAGGTTCACTTAACAAGTAATACTCAAACCTCAGCAGGTTCACTTAACAAGTAATACTCAAACCTCAGCAGGTTCACTTAACAAGTAATACTCAAACCTCAGCAGGTTCACTTAACAAGTAATACTCAAACCTCAGTAGGTTCACTTAACAAGTAATGTTCAAACCTCAGCAGGTTCACTTAACAAGTAATACTCAAACTTCAGCAGGTTCACTTAACAAGTAATACTCAAACCTCAGCAGGTTCACTTAACAAGTAATACTCAAACCTCAGCAGGTTCACTTAACAAGTAATACTCAAACCTCAGCAGGTTCACTTAACAAGTAATACTCAAACCTCAGCAGGTTCACTTAACAAGTATTGCTCAAACCTCAGCAGGTTCACTTAACAAGTATTGCTCAAACCTCAGCAGGTTCACTTAACAAGTATTACTCAAACCTCAGTAGGTTCACTTAACAAGTATTACTCAAACCTCAGCAGCTTAACCAAGACAAATGTATATAATACATTAAAAATAATGAATTAGAAAAGTTCTACAGTAACAAAAACACTAACCAAACCCTTCTATGAATTCTTCCAGTGTAAGGAAACCATTGCCATCATCGTCCAGCGAGTCAAACACAGCCTCCAGCTGTTCAGGTTCAAGAGCAAGTTCTGACTGTAGTCTCTGCATGTCCTTCTTGTTAATGAATCCTTTTTCTTCCTTATCACAGACTTGGAACAGCTCCTTGGCTTTCTGTACAGCCAGCGCTTCCATGTCCTCTGAGGAGGCAGACTGGTTCACCTCATACATCCTGGTTACTCAGATTTTGATCTCTAAAGGTCTGATTATAAAACTCCTTTGCAGAGGTAGTTACAACACATAAAGATCACAGTTTTTCCACTTCTACTAAACACATAGTTTTTAAAACATCTTCTTTTTCATTCTTATTTTTTCAAAGCATCATTACATCGTCAACAAATTATTAAAGTGATGGTTAACATTATTATCCTGACAACATCTCAGTGAATCCTTTTCAATCGTCCAAATGTTAACATAACTTGTCAGATCTGAAACAGAAAAAAATTATACTTCAGTTAGTGTACTTCAACAGAAATACATGATCTGTGCTAGTGAGCATAACCACATCTGCCCTACATTCCTGGTGACACTACAGAGCTTCTAGACCATCAGGTTAATCAGCTTACAGAAAATCCTTGATGTAGAGAATTTAAAGTCTGTACCAGCAGAATGTTATCTTTACTATAAAGATGAAATACATCATTTAGTACCACAATAACATGTATTTTTTTTTTTTTTTACCAGTCTGAACTTCTCTTGACGACAAATTGAGATGATAACTAGAACATTTGACACACATGTTCAATATTTATAGATTATACATATATATACCTTTACCCTGATTTGTAAATATTCATTAGAAAACTATCTCGGATACAGAGATTGAATACAAATCAAGTATCTTATGTTGTAGATGATCAAATTCTAACTGACATTTTTATAGATCTACTTAAATGTCAATTTAGTTTTAAAAAAATGATGGTATGACTACTCTTGTAAACAACAGTTTTATATTTAAGAGCCATTCTTGAACTAATTTTTAGATCATTATTTCTAAATGTAATTCAATACATCCCAATATGCCTACATTTATATAAAACGTACACAATAAGAAATGGTCACATGCCAAACTGAAACCTCATAAACAGAACCATGACATGATGCCAAAAAACTGGTTTGGCAACAAATAGCGCTATTTTAAAGTTTTTTTCTGAAATTTCTGAAAAAGTGGTTTACTTAAGTCATTATGGATAACTGACATATTAATGTGATAAAAGCACTTATCACCTACAACCTGTAACAATATTGAACACATCACATATACGTAAAACTTACTAATTGCATTTAACCTTCAATACTTCTTAAAAAAAATTGCTATGATAGCTGTTTTTCAAAGACGTTATTGCAAACATTTGCGATGCTCAGACCAGAAATGGATGTAATCAGGTCTAAGAATCAACAGTATCAACACTAATTGTATCTATCATACCGTTAATCAATCTCCTTTCTTAACTATAATGTTACATCAACAATGATTAGTGATTGGGATATAACAACACATACATAAGAAGACCAGTAGAGAAACAACCATTTGGCCCCCTCATTGGTGAGATAGTGAGATCTCTCACCCTGGACTGTGAGATTTCCTTGTCTTACCCTAGGGTTGAGATAGGGAGATCTTTTACCCTGGACAGTGAGATTCCCTTGTCTCACCCTAGGGTTGAGATAGGGAGATCTCTCACCCTGGACTGTGAGATTTCCTTGTCTCACCCTAGGGTTGAGATAGGGAGATCTCTCACCCTGGACTGTGAGATTCCCTTGTCTCACCCTAGGGTTGAGATAGGGAGATCTCTCACCCTGGACAGTGAGATTCCCTTGTCTCACCCCTGGGTTGAGATAGGGAGATCTCTCACCCTGGACAGTGAGATCCCCTTGTCTCACCCTAGGGTTGAGACAGGGAGATCTCTGACCCTGGACAGTGAGATTCCCTTGTCTCACCCTAGGGTTGAGATAGGGAGATCTCTGGCCCTGGACAGGGAGATTCCCTTGTCTCACCCTAGGGTTGAGATAGGGAGATCTCTGACCCTGGACAGTGGGATTTCCTCATTTCAGCTTTGGGTTGAGATGAGGGGATTCCCCAGTCAGGTCATTGATAGGATGTCACTGTAACGATTCACTGATGTCATGTCAACAATTCAATCAGGTCAACAATGGAATGAACTGGAATAACAAAAGCAAACATTTAATAAAGCCAGCAGGGTAAGAGAAAATTAATCATTCACTCATTGTTGATGAGATAGGGGGAATCTCAACCCTTGGGAAAAGATGTTAAAGTTCGAAACACTTAGCAAGCCTCATGTTTGCCATCTTAATCATCTTTCCCCTGGGGTAAAGATACCCCTATTTCACCTTCAAGGCAGTGGAAGATTCTGTTAATCTCTACCCTTTGGGAAAGATTAACTTGCAAACACCTGATAAACGATGTGTTAGTCAACTTAATAATCTCCCCCATCCTGTTGAGATCCTATGCCGCACTCCATAGAGGGTGATAGGTTCCATTAATCTAAAATATCACACAATCTATAAATTAATAACAGGACTGATATACACACCTGGTGGTAAATGATTAGTCCGAGTCCCAGATGTTACAGTATAAACCCTGGCAGTATTGACCTGATAGAAACAGATGTTCACATCAGCATCTTAACTCCTTTGTCACCATTATCAGTACACCCACGTCAAAACCTCGTCATGATCATTGAATGATTGTCAGCACAATGATCTCAGTATGTTACAGGATTTTGTTACAAAAAGAATTTAGACAAAATATCTCAATTGATAGTTTTATCATACTTTCATGCTACTTGTCAGTTTTCTGTGAGAGAACTATTTGTGAATAGCAATAAGACAGCTACATATAGCCTTAAGTCTCATCACAATAGATTTACCAATCAACACACACATCTCACCAACCTCTTACATCTTACCAATCTCATTACATCTCACCAATCTCATTACATCTCATTACATCTCACCAACCTCTTACATCACCCCAATCTCATTACATCTCACCAAACTCATGACATCTCACCAAACTCATGACATCTCACCAAACTCATGACATCTCACCAAACTCATGACATCTCACCAAACTCATGACATCTCATTACACCTCACCAATCTCATTACATCTCACCAAACTCATGACATCTCACCAATCTCATTACATCTCACCAAACTCATTACATCTCATTACATCTTACCAATCTCATTACATCTCACCAATCTCATTACATCTCATTACATCTCACCAATCTCGTTACATCTCATTACATCTCACCAACCTCTTACATCACCCCAATCTCATTACATCTCACCAAACTCATGACATCTCACCAAACTCATGACATCTCATTACACCTCATTACACCTCATTACATCTCATTACACCTCATTACATCTTATTACACCTCACCAATCTCATTACATCTCACCAAACTCATGACATCTCAACAATCTCATTACATCTCACCAAACTCATTACATCTCACCAAACTCATGACATCTCACCAATCTCATTACATCTCACCAAACTCATGACATCTCACCAATCTCATTACATCTCATTACATCTCACCAATCTCATTACATCTCACCAATCTCATTACATCTCATTTACAAAAGTATTACCATATTATCTCATTTCTTGATCTTTAGTACCGTGAGGGACAACACCCAAATATCATTCAAAACCAAATTTCTTTCTAATGTTGTGTAAAACAAGATGTTTCTATCGTTTAATCTTACTTAATAAAAATTCCTCAGAAGAAAACCCTTACCACTGGTAGATTCCCATGTATCTAACCACCACTAATCCATTCCTACCAAAATCTTTCTCATTACTATATATTTTACGAGTTTTTAATTCAACATTAAACTCTTTTCATTCAAGGATGCTTCATGTGAACTGTTGACAAATTCTTTGATTCGTACAATAGCAGACTTCTGGTATTCATTCACCTTGGTCCTTGCTGTTCTGTTCACACAAAATTAATTTCTCTTCACATCAAGAGGCTCCAGATCCAGACTTATATGGAACAAATATGTTTTTTTCATGGATTTACCTCCCATTCGTAATTTTCACAGGTCCCATATATACCTGTGCTTGTAAATGAGTCCAACCCTCCATCCCTTCTTACGTCAATAATGAATTCACCCAATGATGGTCCAGACCAAATCTAAACAAATTCACTCATTTGTAGTGATTGACAGAAGACATTAGTTACTATGGAAGCTGCACCAAAGCACACATTCAACAGTCCTCAGGTCTTCGCTACATGAAATTGGTCCTAGTTGTATCCCATTACAAATTATTGAACAACCAGAATATTTACATTTACAGCACGACATAATTCATCATCCTGAAACACAGTAAACGGTAAATACCTACTACAGAGTACTACCTGTATTTGTGTATACTTACAGGTAGATTTCCTCCAAAATACCACAGAATGCAACAGGTTGACATCACAATGCTCTATATATGGGTATCTGTAATGACCTGTACCATGTGAATCGGCTCAGGTAGAAGTGGACAACAGCTGGTGCTGCATTTTCTCCTATAGTTAATTGTCTACCAATCACACACTACCTCTGACATACCACAGTGAGATATTCACTGTGAGAAATAGTTACCATCCATCAGGCAGTACACCTACGTGTGTGTTATTTTTTGTATATTTATTTACATCATTCAAGTGGTCCGTGATTTTTTCCCAAATATCACTGTCATGTAAAACCATTGCTTAGCCATAAATGTCACAGTTACGTTTTATGTAATCTGTTTATACCGATATAAAAAAATGCTTGATAACTTCTGTAACAGACTAAGAAGGTATCAGAAAAAACCACTGTATAAAATTTATCAGTTGACTTATACCTTAAGATAAATACCTAACAGTCATATGAACACAGAGACCATAAAACAAGTTTGTGTACAAACTGCACAACACAACAGGAACGCAGGTAATGCAGGTAAATGTTACCAGGTATTGTCTCAAGTAGGTATAAGGAAGTGAAAATCTCATAAAGCATTATGTGGTCAACGTACACCCTCACACTATTATGTGGTCTATACACACACACACCATTATGTGGTCTATACACACACACACCATTATGTGGTCTATACTCACACACCATTATGTGGTCTATACCCACACACACCATTA